TATTTCTATTACATTTTAATATAAGACTAAGTTAGGGTATTTTTCAGTCAGGCTTTCTACAAAGCTGATTTAATCTTCACCCACGCAGTCTCAGTAAGGCCCAACAAAAGAGACAAATATTCTTGTGAAAATTGAATTAAGCGTTTACCCAAAAGTAAATCAAATACAAAAGGTTACTTTCGAAGGACTTGAAAAGAGGATAACAAATATCAAAGGGCGCTACGCATTAAAATGCCATTCTATATAATTAACAAAATTCAAACTTGATAAAAAAATATTTGAAAAATATAAATACATTTCAAAGGATTTTAGGCTCAACAAAATATCGGAATCAAGCAATCGTCGCATTAACTGAAACCGAATTACAGTTAAGCATTTCAAACATAAAACATAAAAAAATTAGAAAAAAAAAAAAAAAATAAAATAAAAAAATGCCAGAGGTCATTCAATTAGCTGGCGTACTGTCCGGCCACAGTGGCTGGGTGACTCAGGTGGCGCCCCATCCGTATGATCCGGACCTGCTGGTCTCCTCGTCGCGGGACAAGACCATCATCGTTTGGCGCCTGACGCGCGAGAGCCAGAACAACTATGGGTATACGCTGAAGCGGAACTATGGCCACTCGCATTTCATCAGCGACGTGGTGCTGTCGTCGGATGGCAACTTCGCGCTGTCCGGCTCGTGGGATCGCACCATTCGGCTGTGGGATCTGACTGCCAGCGCCACTACACACCGCTTCGAGGGGCATTCGAAGGATGTGCTGTCCGTTGCCTTCTCGCCGGATAATCGCCAAATAGTGTCCGGGTCCCGGGATCGCACCATTAAGCTGTGGAACACACTGGCGGACTGCAAGTACACCATTACGGATGATTGCCACACCGACTGGATATCGTGCGTGCGCTTCTCGCCCAAGCACTCGAATCCCCTCATCGTCTCCTGTGGCTGGGATCGTACGGTCAAGGTGTGGGACCTGACCCACTGCAAGTTGCGCAACAATCATCATGGCCACACTGGCTATCTCTCGACGGTGGCCGTCTCGCCGGATGGCTCGCTGTGCACGTCGGGCGGCAAGGATGCTAAGGTGCTCTTCTGGGACTTGAGTGACGGACGCAATCTGTATCCGCTCGACCATCACGATGTGGTCAATGCCATGTCCTTTTCGCCCTGTCGCTATTGGCTTTGCGTGGCCTGTGGTTCCTCCATAATCGTCTGGGACTTGGCATCGAAAAAGGCCGCATTCGATCTATGGCTGGAGGATGTTACGCCCACCGCAAAGGGCGATCTGCCGCAATGCCTGTCGCTGGCCTGGTCCATAGACGGCCAGACCCTCTTCGCCGGCTACTCGGACAACAAGATACGCGCCTGGCAGGTGCTCACCGGCCAATAAAGGCCGAGTTCTACACCCACTTTTTACACATTCATACCTTTCTAATTAGCTGATTTGTTTATTCTATAAGGGACAATTCACACTACACACGAAACATAGAAGACGTATACACTTAAGTTAAAGAGAGTTGGCAGAGACAAAACATTATCTACTTATCTTCTACATATACATATACATACATACAGATACATACACATACATATGTATATATACACATACATATATGATTAAAGCGTTAAGACTAAACAATCTGTAAAGCGTCTTAGATCTCTTTGTATAATGATGTCAACCAGATTTATCTTCCATTTTATTCCTTTTTTTCTGTTTTTGTTTTTTTGTGCTGCTCTTAGCATATGTTGTTCAACACGCTGATTCGCTGTCAATATTTGATTAACAATCCCCCGCACAATCTCGGAAGCCACTTATATCGCTTATTTCCTTGAGCGCCAGAAGTGCCAAATCATGAGTTTCAGATACAACTGCAGATAGGATTGTGCACGATGACAAAATGGGGTTCAGTTCGGTATGTGAAAATGGCTTAGAGATGCTCGAACGTGTGACAACTGGGGCAATCCCAAGATGCCAAAGCCCAGATACAAACGACACTAAGAGCAGCACAAAACTATATATGTATATATGTATTTCTATATGTATATACACGAATATATACATATATGCAAAAAAAAAAAAAAAAAAAAAGATGTATTCGATTCGGTTCTGGACAGATTAATAGCAAATGCCGTGGCAGTAGGCAGGCGCTTGGCTTTGTGGGTGGGAAGCTGTCAACAAATCCGCAACAACAAACCGCAATCGCAATCACATTTATTTATTTATTTTTATGTTAACAGTTGGCAGCTTCCTCATTTGTGCCCAGCGCAGCACAAAAGCTGACAGGCGACATATTAAGCATCTCTGGCCGGCCGGCCGSACGGACGGGGTGGGGGCAGGAGGAGAAACTAGAAAGGGTCGAGGTCATCTTAATGATTAATACGACTGTGGATACGCATGTGCGAATCCACACAGCATACTGACATATGCACATACAAACATATATAGATATATGCGTATATGGGCCAAAACTATAAGCCTATTCAAATTGGGTATATTCGCACCTGCCGCAGAAAACAATTCAAGTGCGAGTGTGTGTGTGCACCAGAATCATATTCAATTATACATACACCATGACCCTGGCTACGAAAATCACACATACAAGTCATCTTTATCGTACAGATGTATGTATTGCTCTTAGCATATATTGTAGTATGTAATTATGCATGTACCTATGTGCAGTGCTTGACACTACTTTTACAGCGCACACATACACACGCACGCACGCAGGCACGCATATACATGCGAGTGTGTCGCTACGTGAAGGACTTTTAAAATCGACCACTAACTACGCCTTTGGCTCAGAGCGCGTAAGCGAGATAGCAATACTAACATAGTGCCGCTGAGCAGCGCTTACAGCTCGCCCAGAGAGAGAGAGAGAGCACTGTTAACGGCAGTCGTGAGTGCTGGTGGTGGGGGCAGTGAGCGAGCGAATCATCGGCTATGTTCGTGTTGCCAGCGTAGTATACTCGCAAGCGTAAAAATGTGTAAAACTCGACTCTCTGATGAATGAGATTAACCGTTACACACACACGCACACATACACATGCAATGGTCGTACTGAAACCAAGCAACCCCCTGGCACAGGCGCACACGATAAACGGCTACAACTACAACGGCAATACAACAACAACAACAACCCTCAACAGCGACAAAGCACTTGCTGCTGTTGCTGTCGCTGTCGCTGTCACCGCCTCTGCCTCTGTCTCTGTCGCTGCTTCTGCCTCTGCTGCTGCTGCAGGGCATTGTGTGTGTTTGGCAAGAGGGTTTATATGGTGCTTTTACTCGCTACTTTCTCGATTAACTTTTACTACACTGCCAGCAATTTTTTTATGTTAGTTCGCTATAGTTGTTGTTGTTGCGGTTGTTATTGTTACTGTCGCTTGCCGTATTTTTGGCTCTGGCTAAGCAACAATTAAAGAAGCTTCAGCCAAGCAGTTTATCTGCGTGGATGGCGCCTAAGTTCACGCCCGATGACAAATGCAGATTTTTTTAATACTCACACTATATATAACTGCAACTGAGCTGGAGCGCCCTACACTGGGCTTTCGTTTTTGTTTTTATGAACTTTGCAAATTTGTGTGTTTGTTTCTGTGCGCTTCTCTGTATGTAGTTGTTAATGCACATTCCCATTTAGAGTTTCACATTTCACAGGACACACACCAAGTATAGAACTCACACTTCGTGGCGCTTCAAATGGCGCTTGCACACTTCCGACTGAACGTCTCAACGCTGACGCTGCGACTGCGATTGCGAATGTGATTACTCGTCACTAGCCCCAATGGCCGCTCAGTTAACATTGCACACTTCTGCTTAGGTTGGCAGTCCTCTGTTAGGCTTATCGATTGAATGTTGTATCACGGTGCGAGCGAGATGGCGCTATAGCCGCATAGCCGATGCCTGAAAATGGCAGCGCGTCATTGTTAGCATTGGCGTTGGCCTCGCATGAAACGGTAAATTGTTAAACTTTATTCCTCAATATCGTTTCCATTTCGATAACATTTCACTATCAATTATTGCACACTCGCGAATCTAGTATTTAATTGTCACTTAATGCGAAAGCGAATACAAAAACCAACTGCGACCTTTGGCTGCATTTTGACAATAGCCGGCGTTGTCGTCGCTAACATGCCGACCAACCACCATCGAGAGCGCCAGTTGGACGCACCCCATGAACCGTTTGGGTTCTCTCTTTCTCCCTCTCTCTCTTTGTGGGACTCCTCTTTTGTGCGCTCACTGTCTGTGGCATTTATAATACTATTTTACTGTACTCAAGTTTTTGGCGCCTAATTCGCAAATAAACCCTTACAGCGCTGCCTAACCTAACAATGTCAATTGGGGTCGGGCCATAAAGGCATTCTAATATTCTCGACTAGCTATTGTAAATTCATATTTGAAAAATTAGAGTCGTTCAATGTTGTATTTTCAAATGTCCTTGTAATGGGGCAGCAGCCAGTCAGCGTGACAAGGGTTTGTTCCGGGGTGGCTCTTGATGAGGTGTTGGCACTTCTTATCACTTCGAATATGTAACTCGAATCGCTGCGCCTTTAAAATGTCTGGCTGAAGTATTGTCACGTGAATTTCCCTGAAACAAAATCGATTTCATGTTGACTCCCCCTCCGCACCATCTGCCCCATCCGCCCATCCGACCCATCGTTCCTCCACCCCACCGCCCCTCAGTTGGCAGTTGTTTGTTCCATGTGCTGTAATTTGTCGTCACACTTCAAGGACTCGTCCCAAGCAACATACGCCGTGTTGTCTACCAGGGAGTCTGCAAGTTTCTTGGTAGAAAATTGAATTAATCAAGATGTTACTGATTCGATTAGTGTTTACCACAACGAAAAGACTCTGTAAAATAAATTTATAAATGTTGCGAGCATAAATCTCATCATGTTAGAATATGATTTATTACCTTGCAATATAATACGAAAGCTGAATTACTCTTTCGATTTTTGGATATATATGTTTATATATAACAGCCTAGCCAAATATAATATATATAATATATATGCTTACATAACTATATCGCAGCCTATACATATCCAAATAGCAAAACCCTACACCTTTTATATGCATTTATAGTTATACATTCTGTTATTTCATTAAAGAAATTAGAGCCAGGGCACTAATGGGTCGTGGTCGACCAACTGCTTCTGGTCGCAGACCCCTCGATTAAGGTCAAACCATTTCCCTGGGTCACAGAAATGGGTAACTGGAGTGCCGTTTCGGCAAACGTAATACTTATTGTGGAGCTCCGAGTCCCGCATAGTGGTTCCATCTCTCTTATTGATACAGTTGACCTCTGTGCCTGTAATAACTGAAATACTTGGGCTGGGTGCAACCTCGATTGTGCATCTCACGCGACTGGGATAATTGCAATATTTTATCTCAGTGTCTATGTAGAGACCTTTGGGGCACTGTCTAGGGATGGCCTTTCCATTGGCGCAGACATAAAATTTGCTACATGATCTTGGATGCCTAACATATTCGCCATTTGGGAATAAACTACAATCTGGAGTTGGCGAATCATCTGGTTCGGATGGAGAATCATCGGTCGGGCTCAAAGGACTTTGTGGAGCTGTACTATAATCCTCGTCACTCGTACAGTCCACTAGGCTGGGGAAATTGCAGACCTTCTTTTTAATATCGAAATAGAGAACATTCGGGCAACTATGAGGTATGGCACGCCCATTAGAGCACACATAAAACTTAGCGCAGAGATTTGGATCTCTTATAAAAGCACCATTAGGTAAAGAACTACATTTCGAGTCAATCGCGTCTTCCAAAGGCACAATTATGTTTTCTGCTTTGGACACAATCTGTAGGTTCTTTAAAGCCGATGCGTTCTTTGAAAGATCAAATAGTGTGGAAGATATAAGGTTTTCAATGTACTTCAGAGCCTCAGCTGCAGATGGAATGTCATGTTCCTTCGAGTGATCCGTTTTCGTTGAGTATAATACCTTTCCGTTGGATTTTAGATTCGAGCCTACAGCTGGTTGGGTTTGTACCATCTTTAGTTGTGATGCTTCTTTAGAGAGATCAACAATTGCGGCTGGCACTACTGTTTCCTTAGATTTTAGTCCCGTAGTTGGTTTGGTTTTGTTTTGCTCTGCTTTTAACGTAGTCTTCGAGAGATCTGCTTTCGATTGGGCTAGACTCATCTCCTGAGCCTTGAGATTTTCATCTACAGATGGTTTGCTTTGCACTTGCTTCATCAGAGGATCCGACTTCGTTGAAGATAATTGCTTCTCCTTATGCTTCAGATTCTCAACTACAGTTGGCTTGAAATGTTTGTCCTCTGGTTTTGGCGTGTTCTTGAAGAGGTTTGATTTCTCTGAGGGTATTACCGTCTTGTTAGATTTCACATCCACAATTTTACCTGGTTTGATTTGCTCCTTTGAGAGATCCGATTTTGTAGAAGGTGAATACGTTTGCTTAGATTTTAGATTATCAGATACAGGTAGTTTCCGTTGCTCTAGATTTTGACTCGATTTCTCATTTGACAGGACTGCGTCGCTAGACTTCAGACTTACAGCAAGAGATGGCTTTGTTGGGTCATGCTGTACAGAAGACTTACTATCCGTCAGATCAGATTTCGGCATAAGTTCCTTGCCTTGCTGTGGTATAGAAATCTTATTTGAAGTAACTGTTTTTGTTGAAAGTAAAACCGTTTCGCTAGACTTTGCACTCTCAACTTTAGATAGCTCTTCCTTTGATTTGGATACATCTTTTGTAAGAATTGATTTCATCAAGAGCAATTCCTTTTCATTAGAGTTCAGGCTCTCAACTACAGATGTACTCATTTGATCCTTTGATTCCGTAGGCCCTAATAATTGGTTTTGTCCTTGCTTAGATTCGGATATCTTTTGGATGACTCCTGATGTATTATTTTTTGAAATATCTGATTTCGTTGGAGGCAATATCACATTGTTAGATTCTTTTTTCTCAGGGCTGTCTTGGATCTTGGAAAGATCCGTCTTCAATGAAGTTGGTACTATTTCCTTTGATTTGAGACTATCAGTTAATTTGCTTTGATCTTGCTTTACTTCAGAAGTGTCCTTTGCGATAATTTTCGTTGAAGATACTACCGCTGCCTTAGATATCAGAGCCTTATTTAGCTTTCCCTGATCTTTTGATAGATCTGCTTTCAGACTCTGAGCTATATTTTGTTTGCTTTGATCCTTGGATTGAACCAATATTGGTAAAGGCAGAGGCGTTTCCTTAGATTTGAGGCTCTTAGATACAGACAATTTGCTTTGCTCTTGCTTTACTTGTGATGTGTCTTTTGCGATAACGGTCTTCGTTGATGATGATGTTGTTTTAGATGTCAAATCTTTGTCGAGTTTATTTTGATCCTCAGAGAGATACTTTCCTGGTGAAGGTAGTGGAGTTTCCTTAGATTTGAGGCTCTCGGATACAGAAAGTTTGCTTTGCTCATTTTTTAATTCTGAGGTGTCCGATGCGATAACAGTCTTTGTTGATAATGATACCGCTGCCTTAGATATCAGATCCTTATCTTGTTTACCTTGCTCCTTTGGTAGATCAGCTTTCAGATTTTGAGCTACATATGGTTTGCCTTGATCCTTGGATTGATTCATTATTGGTGAAGCTAGTGGCGTTCCTTTGGAATCGATGTTCTCAGATGTAGACAGTTTGCTTTGCACTTGCTTTACTTCTGATGTTTCTTTTGTGGTAACGGTCTTTGTTGATGATGATACCGCTGCCTTAGATATCAGATCTTTATTCGGTATACCCTGATCCTTTAATAGATCAGTTTTCAGATTCTGAGCTACATATGGCTTTCCTTGATCCTTGGATTGATTAAATATTGGTGAAGCTAGTGGCGTTTCTTTGGATTTGATGTTCTCAGATGTAGACAGTTTGCTTTGCACTTGCTTTACTTCTGATGTTTC